TTTTAAAATGCAAAACTTCCCCCAATAATTTGGGATTCTAAATAAAAATACTTTTGTCTTTCCCAGTTTAAAACTTGTGAGTGGCCATTGGTGTGAAGTCCAAACTCTGTAAAATGCCCTCCTTAAATAAATGTTTGTGTGGCCACCAATCAACTCTGAAGTAAAATCTAATTTCAGTTTAGATGCCAGGTCCTCTGACCCCAAAAGTTTAAGTATTATGTACTTTAGGTGTTTTATTATATGCTTTTATTCTGTACTTTAGGTATTAGGTCCTTACTCAACACTCTAAGTTTGCAGTCCTGCTTCTACCTCTATTCCACTAGAATGTAAACAGTGGTGAGAGAGACACTCTTGACCCCAGCCACCATGGGACACCCAGACCTGAGATGACATGGCATGTTCCAAGTGTCAATGAAATATTTGTTAAATGGATACATTTGGGATATTAATTAGATATTTTCATAATTTAATTTTAAATTTATATATGATGTTATGTGAACTTATAAAGAATGATTAAAATTTAATTCGTCAAAGGAAAATAAAAAATAAATATATTGAGATAAAAATCTAATAATGTATAATTTGTAACAGAATATGGGTAGATTTCTACAAGTTAATGGCAAAACATTGCAATATCTATGGCTTTTAAATACATCTAATAAAATTTTGTGAAAACTTATTTTTTTAAAACAGAGTAGCTCTGCCTCTGTCTAGGACCAAAATATTAGAGTATCATGAGCATCTCAACATTTTTCCCCTAAAAACATTCTAAACAAAGAAAGAAAACAGACTACAGACTCAGTTATCTTGTGGCTCTATTATTTTATTAATTAGCACTTTGACCTTTTGAACAGGTGTTCAACAACCTTTTTGAATTCCATAGATTTATTTTGTCAAACAGATCTGATTTGGAATCTGATTTGGAAGTACTATAAGAAGTGACGGTCTTAACTAGATAAGCAATTTTTTTTTTTTTTTTTTAGATAAGCAATTTTGATAAGATTTTTAAAAATCCTTCCACATATTCATTTACTGCAACTCCCACTTTTTGGTTAATTAATATAGCTTGCATTGAGAGAAATTATTTATTAAGCACATTTCAGGGAATTAATAATTTACGTCAATTTATACTCAGTACCTGTGTATTGATTTATAGTTTATAATTCAATTTATAGTTCATAATAATTCAAAAATGTGTTCCTCAACTAACCTTGGAAGTAGATTTCACTGATATCTGCCATTAGAGGTAAGGAAACAGAGTCAATTGAGTTGTTTGCTCCAAATCACAGTATATAACACTTGCTTATTGACTAGCTTTCAAAAAATTGCATGTTTAACAAAGGCCATACCTATAGTTTGTGGAGAAATGAGTATTGGACTGATTTAAAATCAGGCTATTTAATCTGGGAATGACATTTTAGTAAGCTGGTCCATGGGTGCCTCTTTAAAAAAAAAGCCGTAATGAAAGGTAATTAATAGAAGGAAAATAGTTATGTCTTCCTTGATTATCTTTAAATATCTTACAATTTTATTTGTCAATTATATCTAAATAAAGTTGAAAAAAGGGCTCTGGGGGGCACATATACTACTCATATTTCACACCAGCTGTTGCATCAGCTTACATTCAAATTCTGACCCTGCAATTTTACCTACCTAAGATATATAACTGACTTGAAGCTTAATATAAGAAAATATAAAGTTGGGACAATGATAAGGTTTATTCCACAAGATTGTTGCAAAGATCAGCTATGGTAATATATAGGACAAACCCCGGCCAATAGGTAAGTTCTCAGTGAAAGGTGGTTATTGTTAGGTTCTGTATGCTTACAAAATATATTTCCATTGTAGACTTCAAAGTAGTATAGACAGGAAATCACATGTACTGTGTCAGAGGGAAATTGGACAAAATTCTGCCCAGAGAGCAAAGAGAAATGAAAAAGCTACAGTTTCAGAATTTGTCAAACACAGCTGTTCTTTGTATGAGCTTTGCATTTTGATTTCTTTGCTTCTCTCATAAATGTATAAGGCCAGAGATAGGCTCCAGGTAAGTAGATATAAGTATATAGTTTAGAAATCTAACCAATGCAACAAATAGGGATTTTTCTTAGAATTTTATTTTAAAATTAAAATGAAAAACTTTCCATTGTTATATTAAAATAAAAAATCAATATCCTCACTCAAGGCTTGAAGGTAGGGCTTCCCTGATGGCGCAGTGGTTGAGAGTCCGCCTGCCGATGCAGGGGACACGGGTTCATGCCCTGGTCCGGGAAGATCCCACATGCCATGGAGTGGCTGGACCCGTGAGCCATGGCTGCTAAGCCTGTGTGTCCGGAGCCTGTGCTCCACAACGGGAGAGGCCACAGCAGTGAGAGGCCCGTGTACCGCAAAAAAAAAAAAAAAAAAAAAGACTTGAAGGTATATTAATGTTGACCCCTTTTTAGAGATTTGCGTTTTCAAGAAAAATATACGTGTTCGAGGTTGGTTCAATAGAATTAATGATACCCACTATGTGACTGATTCTATTATGTCAGTGGGCTCCTATTTTTGTAAAGTGGTGGAACCCAATAAAACATATGGAAACCCAGTTTACAAAGCAATTTATAAGTGGAGGTATGTTCATTGAAAAAGGCAGGAGAAACCTGTACATATTCCATTTACCTATACATATGTATAGGGTAGTTTGGTTTTTTTTTTAACATCTTTATTGGAGTATAATTGCTTTACAATGGTGTGTTAGATTCTGCTTTATAAGAAAGTGAATCAGTTATACATATACATATGTTCCCATATCTCTTCCCTCTTGCGTCTCCCTCCCTCCCACCCTCCCTATCTTACCCCTCCAGGTGGTCACAAAGCACCGAGCTGATCTCCCTGTGCTATGCAGCTGCTTCCCACTAGCTATCTACCTTATGTTTGGTAGTGTATATATGTCCATGCCTCTCTCTCGCTTTGTCACAGCTCACCCTGGTAGTTTGGTTTTTAAAGTATTTTAAAATATATACAAAGTCAAAATCTCTCTAGTGTTCTTGAGCCTTCATACAGGAAAGAAAAACATTTTCAACATTTAGTCAGAGGCATGTGTCTAAAACAGGAAGTCAGGTAGTAAGATAAATTATTCCTTGTCTAAACATCAAGGCTGCATATGCCAACAAGATAAACGTGATTTTTTTACAATTTGCTATCCATCTTAACTGAGCAAATATATATATAACAAGATTACTCACAGTATTCAGGACACCATCCTATGCAAATCCCAACAAGACAATGTTTTCCCGAAGAAAACACGTAAAAATGTGTACGGCTTATATGACAAGCACTTTGACAAGCTAAGACATTGAATCCTAAAAATGAATCCTAAAAGTTAAGTATTAGTATCTCCATTTAAAAAAAAATGTTATTGGAGCATAGTTGATTTACAATGTTGTGTTAGTTTCAGGTGTACAGCAAAGTGAATTGTCTGGCGGTCCAGTGGTTAAGAATTTGTGCTTCCAGTGGAGGGGGCACAGGTTCGATCCCTGGTTAGCGACCTAAGATCCCACATGCAAGCCGTGCAATGCGGACAAAAAAATTAAAAAGTTAAAAAAAAAAGTATCTCCAGTTTTTAAGCTTAGAAAATTAAGTGGTAAAGGCAGAATTCAGAGTATCAGACTTCCAAGTCCTTGCCCTTCGCCCTGGCTATACAAAATCTTATAATAACCCAGAATAAAATAATTATCCTCATACGATGAACATTTATTATTGTAGGCATGAATTGAATAAAAATGTTTTCTTTTATTAGATTATTTAATTAACATTACATGATTATGATTTAATTAAGAACGTGTTATGAGGGAAAAGATAAATCAATGTAGAGAAATAATGTACAAATTGCATTAGTTTCACAAGGTTCTTTATGCATGTGGGGAGATACCCTTTGAAGTGTAACATTATAAATTATGGGTCTGTCATCTTGTAACTAAGGATATTTTTGTTTGACACATTGTTAAAAGCACTTTCATTCTAGAAAATTCAAAACAATAACTTCTATAGTCAATTTACTTTAATTTCCAGAATTAATCACAATCTCATTATTTGATCTTGACAGCACATCTCTTTTTTGACAATAATTAACTACTTGACTGACACTTTCATGTCTTGAAAGCAAAGAACTAATTGTCGTTTGTTCATAGTTGCATTATTTCACTTTTTTATGATCTGAGATAGAAAGAGGGATTTATTTGACGTGGAACACTTTTCCTATAATCTTTGTGGGTCAAGGAAATCATGTACATTGCCCCTAAGCTTTAAATGCGTTACTTCCTCAAATCAATTTAAAAGCTCATTACTTTAGCAAATACTCTAGTAAGACAATAAGCTTACCACAGCTATGCTGTCAATATAAGCAGGAAATATATAACTTCAGCAAATCATAATGGTTGGTATTCAGATAAGAAAGGGAGAAGGAAAAAAGGAAGGAAGGGAGAAATCGAGGCAGGAAGGATGGGAGGATGTTTTCTAACGAACTTAGCTTATGGAAATCTTCTCCTCTGTTAACAAGAGTTCATTTATTATGTAATATTAAAATGTTCTTTTGAAAGGAGCAAGTAAACATATATATATATATATATATATATATATATGTATTTTTTTTTTTTTTTCTGTACGCGGGCCTCTCATTGCTGTGGCCTCTCACGTTGACGCGCAGGCTCAGCGGCCATGGCTCACGGGCCCAGCCGCTCCACGGCATGTGGGGTCTTCCCGGACCGGGGCACGAACCCATGTCCCCTGCATCGGCAGGCGGACTCTCAATCACTGCGCCACCAGGGAAGCCCCAAGTAAACATATTTTTAACCTGAAAAAATATTTTCATATTCTCCACCAGTTTGAGATATCCTCTGCAATATCCATAAAGATTTTGGTAAAGCAATTTTAATAAAAGCTAATAATAATAAGAATATAATAATGATAATGATCATTTTTCTGAATAATAATATAAAAAACTTATCCCTATCTTTTTCTAGGTGATTCAGACCATCAGTGCAGTGGACAGAGATGAATCCATAGAAGATCACCACTTTTACTTTAATGTATCTGTGGTAGAAAATAACTCAAGTTTTACAATCATAGATAATCAAGGTAATGCCATTCACTCATAATAACTTTCTATCCATTCTTCTTCGAGAATCTTGTTTAATTTTAAGGAAATTTGTAACATTACTTTTTATACTATACCTGAAATATGATAATGTTGAGAAATAAAGCAAGGAGTGGCAATGGAAATTGGAAACAGAACTCAAAGTAGTGTCCTAGGAATATCATTTCCCCATTTCCCACTGGATTTCTTTAAATTAGAAGCACTTTTTCAAGTCATCATTGGCTATAGGCCCCTGTAAAGTCTGAATGACCTTGCAAATATAATTGCAGTTCTGACACCATGGTTCCTTTCACGTCTTCACATAACTCAAACTTCAACCCATGTCTGGGGAAGAAAATGATATATAATCATGTTAGCTTGATTGATTGAAAGATATTTGGAGTCATTAATTAGGAGCTATAAGTATTTGGAATTGGCTTAAGACTATGCTTTTTCCTTCAAAACGAAGTGATTATATCAGCCTGAGAACAAAATGTTCTAAAGGATTTTGTACAGAGGGACAGAATTCCTTTTCCTTCCATATAGAAGGGGAATAACTTTTTACAAAGCCACTCTGTTCTTTTTTCCTTCACTTCAGTAAAATATTTTTTTGTCATTACATGGATTTCTATTCTAATTTTGCTTCATATCTCAAAGATATGAAACACCGTGGGATTCATTACTCAAGCATCTATAACCAAACACCTGCAGCTGTCCTTCCTTGCAACTGAGTTTAAGCTCCATATGAGGGGAGATCTGTTATGGGAGAATAAATGCAGACACGTTCTTTTCCTTTTGCCTTTGTCAAATTCCCCAGTGAAGGAAACTCAAATAGATTTAGGATTTAAAAAAATACAAATATCAATATAAGAAATAAGCTGTGGGTTAGTTTTGTTTATGTAAATATAAAATAAGTTAGTGGGACAAAATAAATATATTGAAACATAAAGAGAATAATTGATTTGGTTTAATGTTTGCAGTTACAAGGAATTTAATGAAATACATACCAAAAATATATAAGCTCTCTCACCTCTTCAATCTGCCTAGTGAATAAAATCACAAGTGTTTTATAGACTTCAAGAGCATGATGGAGAATTAGTTTTTAAAAGGTGATTTGGGAAAAGTCATAAGTAGGCATACATTTCAAAAGACTTCCATTTATTTGCATTTGCCTATTTCAAATTCTTCCATTTATATATTTCCATTTATTTGTTTGTGTCTTCTAAAATTTGTTTGATTGCCACAGAAAATATTTCAGGGAATGCCAATACCAAAAATCAAAGTCAAGGGCTTCCCTGGTGGCGCAGTGGTTGAGAGTCCGCCTGCCGATGCAGGGGACACGGGTTCGTGCCCCGGTCCGGGAAGATCCCACATGCCGCGGAGCGGCTGGGCCCGTGAGCCATGGCCACTGAGCCTGCGCGTCCGGAGCCTGTGCTCCGCAACGGGAGAGGCCAGAACAGTGAGAGGCCCACGTACTGAAAAAAAAAAAAAAAAAAAATCAAAGTCAAGTCGGGGGGAAACACTAGTACTGAGACACAATAAACTGCCCTGGAAAAGACTATTTAGAATAATTTGGGATTGAGGGAAAAGCAATTTCAAATGTGTTGAAGTATATATTGTTTATTTTTGTTAATTTTTTGAATCTTCTGTCTAGGTGAATTAATCAGTACTACCAAGGTTTAACGATTCTCTGAAATTTAAGTAGAAAATGGGTTAATAATGTCAAAGTGAAATGAAACATTCTAATAGAATCTTTTACACCAAGTAAAATGAATTCTTTTGTCTTATTAGTAAATACATTATTTGAGATCACTTGCTGTGATAAGGAGATGACTTGAAAATCTCGTGTATTTATAGTATTTGTGAAAATAATGAGTTTCTACTAGAAAAAGCACTGTCATGAGTATTTAACCCAAATGAAACTGATATTGTCATTATAAATTTAATGCTAGTACCCCCTATTTACTATTGATATCTAATTAAAATGCTGTTTTCTTTTCTGTGTTCCACATGTACATTTCATATATTTATCAAAAAACATTTTGGAACTGATTCATATACTTTATCTAATTTTTAAATTGGGATTTAGGCAGTGTCAAAATCAATAATGACTTTTTGAGTTGATCTCTTGTCTTTTTTATCAGAAATTTGCTCTTCCCTATTTGAACTTATTTGATCTCTACACTGCTGCCTCTAGTACATTTAACTGGTATGAATTTCTTTTGTATTATTGAAAAAATCATGCACATGGATTTTTGTTTTAGATAACACAGCTGTAATTTTGACTAATAGAACTGGTTTCAGCCTTCAAGAAGAGCCTGTCTTCTACGTATCCATCCTAATTGCTGACAATGGAATCCCATCACTTACAAGCACAAACACCCTTACCATACACGTCTGTGCCTGTGATGACACTGGTAGCACGCAGACCTGCAATAATAAGGATCTTATGCTTTCCATGGGATTCAAGACAGAAGTCATAATTGCTATTCTGATATGCATTATGATAATATGTGGTAAGTTGTGTGAACTGAGCATATCTTCATTTATTGACAGTAACATGATAAATATAGAAAAGAGTTAATTCCATTATAATGGTATGTGTGGGCTTGTGTGTGTGTCTGCATTTAATTGCCCTTCTTAATGTGGTACAATTCTAAAATCAAGTGGACTGAATGAAAAATAGAGTGAATATGCACTTCAGGTTGAAAATAGATGATCCTTGAATTCTATGAGTATATGAGTATACTTGTGCCCATCCTTTTAAGAGTGTTTTGGACACACACATTGTAACATATGTAGCAATATAAAAATTAGTAATAATAATGGTGAGATTCCATTGAGTGCTTATTATACTCCAGGAGACTGTCCTAAGTGCTTTACAGAAATTATGCAGTTTGATCCTCAAGATAACCTTAAGAAGTGGCGACTATTATCACCTTCATTGTGTAGATGAAGAAAGTGAAATTCCAAGAGTTATATGGTTTACAAAGGGTCATGCAGCTAGTAAATGAAGTGCTAATATTCCATAACACACCTCTATCCAACCTGACACTGCAGCTCACTGAAGCCTAGGATCATTGAGGAAGTAAATGTTAAGATGAAAAAATGTAAAAGAGAGGGTCTTACTTAAAGTGCTAAACACAAAAGAAATAGTAAAATAGCTCCACCTGTTTTTGTTTGTTTTTGTTGCTGCTGTTGTTTTCACAAGGAGATAAGTTATTCTCATTTTACGGATGAGGCAAATGAGGCCCCAAATGTTTTAGCCAGGCTTTCAAAACTACACGCATCTAGCAAAACATTTTCCCTTTCTTTAACATACCAGTATATATAATCTAAACCCTTCTCTTGCTTTCCCTCATAGCTTCATATCAAAGCCAACACAACTTTACAGAGTGTTGACAGCAATAGTATCAGCCATGGGTTCTGGAATCCCAAACTCACTGCTCAAAGGGACATACAGAATGTTTCAGGATTTGCTTTGCCTTCACTCTTCTCGTCTGTCTCAAAGCTTTCCTCTTTTACCATTCAAAGTTACCCTTCATTTCTACCTAGCTTCAGTTTTTCAAAATTATTTTTAATGATCTTTGATCACAAAACTGAATTTAGAGCTACATAGCTAGATATCAGAAACAAGAAGTAGTAAAAACAGTACAATGTTTGCAGGATGCAAGTACTAAGTTACTCACTGGTACAGAGCTAAACCTAGTCCCGAAACCCTGCAAGTAAATACCAAGGGCAGCCTCACAGTCAAGGGCACGAGTAAGTCTGAGAAGGTGGGAAATCAGGGTAAACCAGTAGTCAGCAGTTTCCTGTGAAAGTTTCAAGAATACGCTCTTCAATTTTCATAGATTGAAAAATTATTTATTAGATTCCTTTCTATTTCAACCATATACCTCTGCTGTATTAAAGTACAGTGCCAGGATTCAAACACGATGGCCTTATTTCAAGAACACTATTTCAATTTCTTTAAATGTAAAATTTATATAAAATATATTCTAATGTATTTCTCTTTGTGATAATATTAATAACATTACTTCCTGTTTCAATTCTTATAGATGAAATGCTGAACAGCTACATAAGATCCAAGATTGTGTAAGGATTGGCTATCCATGAAACACACACAAACACACACATATACACACGCACTTTTCTTTAAAATTTAAAAATTTAAAAAGACATTCTGAAATTGTTCTATTTCTACACAATGCTAAAATTATCTTATATAATTGATCGATGTGGACATACCAGTGTTATGATTCAGAAACCTGATAGGTTTGGAATTTCTGAAATTAATATGGTATAACAAAGCACGGATTCTGAACCAACTTTCTGGTTTTGAATGCCAGCTTTTTGTTTCCTAGCTGTGTGACTCTGGGTGTGTGACTTAATCTCTCTGCACTTCAGTTTCCTTATCTTTAATAGAGAATTATAATAAAATACGGGTATCATAACTAATCAATGAATAAATGTAAAGCTTTCAGAAAAATGACTGGTACATACTTTGTAGTCAATAAATATTAACTTAGAAAATAATTATGCCACAGAATTTGTCTCAATGGCGAAAAACAAATCAGTTCTGTGTGCTTAACTTCCACTAACATGGATCATTGGTTACTGAGATTGGCAGATGCATATAGATTCTGCTTTGTTCCGTTTTCAATATATAAGAAAAATATAAAATTTTTAATCTTAAATTGATCATCATAAACAATTCACTATATATATATATATATATTTTTTTTTTTTTTTTTTTTTTGCGGTACACGGGCCTCTCACCGCCGCGACCTCTCCCGTCGCGGAGCACAGGCTCCGGACGCGCAGGCCTAGTGGCCACGGCTCACGGGCCCAGCTGCTCCGTGGCACGCGGGATCCTCCCGGACCGGGGCACGAACCCGCGCCCCCTGCACCAGCAGGTGGACTCTCAACCACTGCGCCACCAGGGAAGCCCAATTCACTATATTTTTATGATGTTTTTCTACTTTAAACCATCAGCCAGAAAGATTGTTATACTTCCTTGTCATTCTGCAAGTCCCTTCAGTAAATTTTCAATAGCAAATATATCTTTTTGTCTTATAATCAGAAAATCGAAGCTTATGTCTTGAGCTTGTAACAGAAGCAAGAATTATATAGTTTATTATAAATAACAATATTTAACAATATCTTATATATTATGACATAATATTTATTAAATAGTACATTATATTTTTATGTATAATATATAATATAAAATATTGTAACATACAATATTTAATAATGTGTTTAGTATAAATATATAACATACTAATATATGATATTTATTATATATTATATATTTATTATATAATAGTAATATTATTGGTAATATGAAGCATATGTATTTATAATATATAATATTGTATTATATTTGTGTTAATTAATGTTCTTGTATGCTCTCTTTGACAGGGTTTATTTTTTTGAACCTAGGTCTGAAACAACGAAGGAAACAGACTCTATTTCCTGAGAAAGGTGAAGATTTCAGAGAGAATATATTCAGATATGATGATGAAGGTGGCGGAGAGGAGGATACAGAGGCATTTGACATAGTGGAGCTGCAGGGTGGCACAGTCATGCGGGAACGCAAGACTCGGAGAGCCAGCAGGGTAGAGATTCGGAGCCTGTACAGGCAGTCTTTGCAGGTTGGCCCAGATAGTGCTGTATTCAGGAAATTCATTCTAGAAAAGCTCGAAGAGGCTAACACTGATCCCTGTGCCCCTCCTTTTGACTCCCTCCAGACCTATGCTTTTGAGGGGACAGGGTCCTTAGCTGGATCCCTGAGCTCTTTAGGGTCAGCAGTCTGTGATCAGGATGAAAACTATGATTACCTTAATGAATTGGGACCTCGCTTTAAAAGATTAGCATGCATGTTTGGTTCGGCTATGCAGTCAAATAATTAGGGCTTTTTTATTAATAAATTTTTTTAAATGCTAATGTGTATTTGGGCAAACTGGTAGTCTCTTGGTAAAGAGTTGTATACTCCGGTTCTTGGGAAAAAGGAAAAGACCCAATTTATAATGTTTTCTGATATTCTTGGGGTAAGTATCCCATGGTTATTTCAAGCTACCCATCCATTGTCACTGACTGCAGGTATGGGGAAGTGAAGCTAACAGTCAGCTCTCGGGTGCCAAGGCAGGCCAGCTCTAGTGTGCCCCTGAAATACTCCTCTGACATTTTTCCAATACCATCCAATACAAATTCTCAAAATTTTTGAAAATTTAATGTGAAAAGGGCCCTGATCTAGATTGTCTTAATATTATTTCATTTATCCATTTTTAAAATCTTACAAAGTAAGAGTGAAGAGTTTATGTGTGTTAAGCTCCCGATACTCTACAGAGATAAACACCTAGGAGAATCTCGGTGGTTATATACATCTTTTAAAAACTGTTTCTTTTCTATGAATAAGCAAGCTTCTGACTGAGAGTCTATGATTCATTCTAGTTTGATATTTTAAAAATGTCATCAAGACCACATTTTAAAACTGATTTCAAATTTAGACAGATGCTTTGTATCTGTTAATTACTCAAAGATATAGTGTAAATTTGTATTCTCTTTGATATTACAGCTTTATATAAAAAAAGGGACATAGACTTTGTTTAGGAGATTTTCATATGTTATTTTCTTATGTATCCAAAATACATCTTTATCATGTCACAATACTATGATAAAACACATATCAACATTTACTGAACATTAAATTTGAACTTTAAGAAAATGGTAGAAAGTGTGAAATTTTTTTAATTTTAGTTTTTCATTTCTAATTTTATTGCTACTAAAAATAATATAAATGAAAGGAGTACTGGATTCAAACTGGAGTTATTATTCATCCTAAATGTTATGATCAGCTGCCCTGCTCTTACCACGCATAAAATAAAACATGATAAAATTCTCAGCATTTCCTTTTTTATTAAGAGATTAGACTATAACTGATTCTTCTGTGTCATTTTTTTTATTATAAAATATAAAATTAGGTACAATAGTTACTTTTATGGTAACATTATGAAGGAAGTATGCTAAGCTGCTGGACATAAAGCTTTAAGGTAACATTAGATAGTAAGATAATAAAACACTTTAATTTTAATCAACCTTGTAAGAATGATTCTCAATTATTCTATCCAAATCAAAGTGGAATTCAAAATTCACAGGTTGAACAGAAAGAAAGTAGTGAATACTGTGTCCTCAAAATAGCTTTATCTGTTCATTTTTTATTAATAGCATGTGAAACTGAACTGAACCAAATTGACCATATATGTTCTAATCAAGTACTTCAAATAATTTTGAGCTAAAGTTGGACTAGTTCAATAGCTACAATATATTTTTTCTCTGTACTTTAAGACAATACCATCCATACCATGTAATAGAAGAGAATTTTTTCATCAGTATCAATCAGGTACCATTATGTCAGCAACACAGATATCACCATTTTGCAAAAGCCTGAGAAAATCAGACTTGAAATACAACAATTTAGGAAGATATTAAATGTAGTAGAGAGGACATAAGCTGTAGTAACTCCTGGTATATTCACATCGTTATTTACTTAGGGAAAAGTAGGAACAGTAAACAAAACAAAATTCAAAAATAAAGTAAAAACTTGCAGGTAAAAAAATGTATGGGTTGAGAGAACATTTATATTCCTATCATATGGATATAAAAATTGAAAGAGTATAGTTAGGGAAATTTTCATGAATTATTCCATGAATGGCTGTACCCTGTATTTAGAAAATAGTGCTATATAATCTTGGTTGAACTGGAATGTATGATAAACAGCAGATGAAGCAATCCATGGAAAATAGATTAGAAAAAAAGAAATAGGGTCTTCGGAGGCCTGCAGTTAGTTCAGTCATGAATGAAAGCCTTATAAACAACTTATCAACTTGGATGAACACCTTATAAAAATGCAGTATCTGCATCACTAAGTTTAGTGTTTGAGTCCAGTGGCACTAAGAAGATGTGTTAAAATAAATTCTGGTTTAGTTAATGATAGGATTGTCAATCATAGGGTACATAGGAAAAGAGATTCAGGGCTGGATACCTATTTGCTAGTCTAGAAAGTGTCCTTTTAAACTATATCAAGAAAATACTATCTGATTCTAGTAGAGAAGTTGCAATTTTCTAGAAGTTATATTTGGTAATATTTCAATAACTATTTTAACCTTTTTTTCTAGTCACATAGCTGTTGCAAGAACACAGCTGTATCCTAAGCTAAAGACATGACATTAAGGTCTCATTTTTGTTAATTTTAATAAAGGTAAATCAATGCGAGGATATTTATGAAATAGCACAGCTTTGCATTAATACCTGCACTACTTAAACAGCACCCTTCATTAACTTACAGGTTTATGTGTAAGTCTTAAGTTACTAGTGGTTGAAACAGGAAAATATTGAAATCCTTTATAGGGATCAGAAAATGTTAGCAATAATAGTTGTTCACTAAGCACATAGCTTGAGCCTATCAGATCTGAGTTTGAATTAGTTCACTTTTATTTAAATAAATGTGTGAACTTTATCGAACTGTCTAATCTTTCTGTATCTGAGGTTGTGATCGGTAAAACGAGGTCCAATGTATGTATTTCACACAATTGTTGTGAAGAATAAGTAAAACAGGAAGCACACGTAGTACCAGACAAAACGCAAGAGTTCAATAAATATCAGCCCAGCATCGTAACAGCTGACCTTATTCTGCTGGAATGCACAGATCCCTTTCTTTTCTAGCACTGAGTGATCCCAAGGGCTTCACAGCGCATTTGAAATATAAATCAGTTTTCTGACCTGACATACAAGGTCATGTATTATCCTGTGTCTGCTTATCTCTGTGTGCTCTGACCTCTTCTAATGCCATGCTCTAGGCCTGAAGCAATCTTCCTCCAAACATTTCTATTTTTCATTCCCTCACTTCATTCAAGTCCGTGATCAATTGCAACTTCCTCAGAAAGGCCTACCGGACCACTCTCTCCCACTGTGTCCCTTGCTCTGCCTTTCTTTGCATCAAATCACTCAGCTACTTTGTAGCAAGTACATTATATATATGTTACTTGTTATTGCCTTTATCCTTTATTAGAATGTAAACTCTAATTGGGCAAGGGGTTGTCAGACTTTTTCATTTGTTCTTGTCTAAAATTGTTTCTAGCACATGGTATGTGACCAATAAATATTTCTTAAATGAATGTAATAATGAATCCCAATCTATTTTACTTGGTCCTGTATAGAAGCTGTATTGACATTGTTGAATATTAATGTGAAATTAATGTATTTTTCTAACCAGGTTAGCACTGGGTAGTTCTGGGTTACAATAAGATTTTTCAAAATCTTTCTAGAAATTATATGAATTTGGTATTTTAACTTGTTTGTACTTATTGATATCATTTCCTGCTGTGGGGAAAGGTAATAATGTTATACTGTTTAGTCAAAACACATCCTTTGATGATTGCTGTAGAAGTTCTCATATGAATAAGTTCCCATGAAGTGTGATGAATAGGAAAGCATTTGCGATGCATGAGAATTCTATGCTTCATGTTTTAGAATACAACTTGGTAACAAATGCATTGTTAAGCTCACAGGGCTACACAAAACATACAAGGTAGCTTCATGTTCTTTTATATGATATAAATAGGCATTAGATATCAAGTACATTAAAAGCTGGAAATAAATGTAGAAAAGGATTATGTGACTTTTACATATCCAATTACGTCTGTCTTATATATCTATGTACCCCTCCAACCATCCTCCCATCCACATATCCATCTATCAACTATCTCCTTTCTACTATCTATCCCCTCTTCCAGGAAACTATAATTTCACAATTACATTAGAGACTAGCATCTCAATCACAGATTAGATCCTTGAGACACGTTAGTATTTCTTGCTGTCTTTTTTTCCTAGAGAGCTCTAAGGATGGGAAGCTGCCTGATATGAAATGACAGGGAAACAGAGAGGGCTAAAACTGGGAAAAATGCAGTTCCTAGCCTTTGGCAAGGCAAAACTGCATGAATTTCCCATAGGTTAAGTGGTTCCAGGTGTAGAAATTTTGCACAGAATGTAGAAGCTGTAAGGGAGCTTAAATCAGTCATCCAAAGACTGTGTCACACAGGCTAAGGAAAAACAGGGACCTCTGGTCCTTAAAATGTCTCCAAATACCCAATGCATGAGCTCCAGAATAGAGTGCCAGCAGTCAGATGCCTGTCATCACACAGAACTTTGGCTGTGAAATTATGATAGAGCCAGCCTTGTTTATATGCCCTTTATCTCTCATCTCTCCATACCCACCCAGAAACCAGAGGTCCAGATGCAGCAGAGTAAGTGGAACAGGGAGAGAGACAACCACCTTGGCCAAAGTGGGCATAAGAAAGATCAAGTCAAGTGTTTCTTAAAAACGGAATAAAATGAAACATTTTCATGATGTTTCTTTCAAGTTACAAACTAATCGATAAAGTGGATACATTAACATATCAAATCAATTTGGCATTTCATATAGTTTGAATAATTTAAATTTCACCTTACTAATAGAAAACATTAGCAAAATACAAAAAAGTAAATATAATTTATAGTGTTCTTAGGACATTTGAAAGCCTGTTACAATAGTTTTTACAACTTTATTTCATGCTATTTCTTTGTGCTTATTCATTTTAATAGTTAAAATGTGATATGTTCTTTTGGCTTCTGCAGTGCTAAGTGGTTTATCTCAGCTAGAAATAAGGCTGGACATGGAAATGACCATATATTCATGATTACATAGAGGTACAAATCTATAGAATATTTTGTCCTAGGAAAGGGAATAGAGATTATATATGGGATTCATCTGTACAACAGGGATATTAAGGATATATAAGTCATCATATCATTGGAGGAATGAACTGAAATAATACATATAAATAATTAACTGGGCTTAATGTATAGCAAACATGACATTTTTACCTGTTGTGATTCTTAAAATAATAATTATTATAATTATATTAAGTTTAACTTTAGTAATGCTCATAGACTTATCTCCTTACTCTTGAAATATTATGGCCAAAAAGAAAATGAAGTGGAAATGGGCAAAGATGGCTAAAAGGTACAAACTTCCAGTTATAAAATAAATAAATCCTGGGGATGTAAGGTACAGTGCGCTGACTGTGGTTAATAATACAAAAAAAATGGAGAGAAGAAAATGAATTAATTCAGGACAATAATTAACTTGCTGTTACTTCCTGCCTGCACACCTTCACCCTTCCAGGGTAATGTGCCATTATTACCAAAGGAAAAAATTAATTGCTCAAGTTATACATTATGTATGAGATGTTCTGATTGAAAGTCGCTCCTCTGTGACATTTATTTGGAAAAAGACCTGCTAAGTTAAGTAGTAACAACGTTTGCTGGCAACTTTTTCTAGGTATAAATATTTTAGAAACAAACAAAAACTATCAAAAAAGAAAGGGTTGGTTTTGCTCACTTTTGTAACTAATGGAGAAATGAAGTTATTTCTATGCTTTATTAGAACTACATGGAAAACGTGAAGTTCACATGCTAATGGCTCCAAGAGAAAGCTTTCATACCAGTTGTAATATCTAAGGTCTGATACCCACAGTTCTAATTTTATGTTAAGAATTTAAAATTAAATTACAAAGCAGATTGTTCTCAGCAACTCTGAAGATACAAAATGAAAAGCTGCACTTTGGCTTCTATCTACATTCCCCTGTCCTTTCTCATTTTAAAAACAA